ATGCTTTGTTTGGTAATTGTTGCTGAGATACAAAGTGTTTCAGGAAACACAGAAGATAACAGAAAGATTAGAGGACTGAAGGAAGATCAGTAGCACTCAAAAAAAAATAAATTGTGGTTTGAGTTGTTAGTAGGCAATCAGGCTCTTGTTTGTGTTTTTGCTATGTGATATTGCTTGTGTATGTAATAGTACATGAAACCATCCCTTAGCCATGGGATGGGATTCACTTGCCTGAAAAAAGGCTTGAAGTGTTCTCTGGAATGCCATAAAATATCCACGTTTTCCACATGTAAGGAAAGGGAAGACCTGAGGGTCTGCAAATAGCCTACTTTTAAAAACCACCTATGATCAAGAAAGGTTTGACTTAGTTGCCCAGACGTATTTATGCTACTAGCTTAGATGCCCTCAAGTATCCTGCCTGATCTTCACCTGCAGGTGCTGTGTTATACTCACCAACCATATAAGACATGATTCAAATTATTTTGACCATCTCAGGTGTTTTGTGTTTAGGCCATTGAACTGAGTCTGGGAGAAGTGTTACTGTAGTCTCTGGAACCAGGAGATTCAGATTCAGCTGACAAAGGTAGGTCTGTCTCCCACAGAGTAAGCTCAACAAACAGTTCTCCAGAGTCCATTGGCTGGATCCCTGATGACTATCACAGGAATTAACTGTTCAGCTCACATTGTAGGAACCAAAATTTAAGTAAACTGAGTCCTAGTGGGGATAGACCAAGAATGGAAAAGTGTGCAAATAAGAATAGTGTTTGTAAAAATGAACCTAGTACATTTAGATAATTTGTTTGGAAAGCTGACATTGTACAGTGTGGTTTTCTGCTTAATTTTCTTTTTCTTGGCTGCATTACCTTCCAGTCCAGAATTGTTTCAATTTATTATTACCATCCTTAGCTACCTAATTGTGCTACTAATGAATACAAATAATCCAAGCATCAGGCTTTTACAGACCCACTTCAGTATACAAATAGTGGTTTGTTGTGTAACTGCTGATTATGGGAGAAGGTAACTCACATTATGGAAAATATGTGCTGAAATGTTGGTGATGAGGAAAGCAATGAATTCTGTACTACGCCTTTTTAATTATGAAAATGTATTGCCATTTTTGTTCCATTGGGTTGTCCATCATGAGTAAATGTGAGATCATCTGAGCCTGGTTTTTAAGCATGTGTACTTATATTTGGAACTTCATTTCAATTTTTTGAGTACTTGTATTAGCACTATTGCACATGAAATACGTAGTTGGCTATCAAATTGCCTATTCAAGTACATATGTATGGGGTTCGAGCACTCAACATTAAGCATTTGCATTTCAAAATTGGATCCCTTATGCTTGAAAGCTTTGAAAATGCTACTCTGTGGTCAGCCTAGTGCAGCATCAATTGAAATGCTGTTTGAATGCAATGTAGAGCTTCCAATTGCTGCTTCAGAAAGTGTTATGCTGAATCTGGAACACTTTGCATAATTTAATTAATTATGCCACTAAAAACTGATTTTCTCTCAATTTAAAGCAAACAGCTTTTATGAGGGTGAACTGAAGCACCCAGGGATATCAGGTGTCCAAGCTTTTAATCCTATTACAAAGACTTGACAACCACTGATGGAAACTGGAAAAACATAAGCCTCCAGCAGGGCAACAAGTGAAGAGGAAGAAGGCAACAGATTTTTAATACTCTTTGAAACCACTGTACACATTAAATCAAAATCAAATGTAAAAAGTGACAGAACTGGTAGCTTGCACTTTGTTGTGCAAGCAGTGAATAGTGTCTAAGGAATAACACTTGTTTTGCTTTGACATTAATGAAAATAACTGTTTCCTCTAAGAGGAAGAGCGTTCTGCTCAACTAGCATAAGAAAATCACAGGACTATTTGCGTCTGTGTCTGTTCACTTAAAGTGTTGAGGAGTACAACAGCCTGCAGTTTGAAAGTGGTTTCTAATGTTATGGATTGGATTCTGTCTATAAATCATTTTCCATGTAAATAAATCTTAACAGATGATTCCAGACTACAAGTATTAAAGAAACTGTCACTAGCTAAATGCTAGCCTTGATACTTCACTTTCTGAAGCTTGTCTTCTCTCTTCCAATTTATTATTGGGTTCAATATCATGCTAAAACAGTAGACACTGTAATTTTGAGGCAGAAGGGGGTACTGATTTAGAAAAGCTCTAATTTCTGAGTCACATAAGCAGAGCCATAATATGCAAACTATGACTGACTGTGAAAAATTCTGTGACCAGGTTAGGAAGGGTCACAGCAGAATTGACTCCATCTCCATATTGAACATCACCATGTAACATGAAATCAACTGCACTGTAGAAGATCTGGCTGATAAATAGGAAAATACTACTGAGAATTGACCAGCCCTATAAAATGCAAACAACTTCCTTGCTTATAATACTAACAAATATTCATATAATTACTAATATATATTTGTGTTCTTCCTATATAGAGAGATGACATATATATATATATGACAAAAATATCTCTCTCTCTGTGTATATATATATATATGTATATATATATATATATATGTATGAGACAGGGTACACCTGTCTCAAGGGGGAAACAGGAGCTAGCAGAGCTCGTTGAAAGAGCTTTAACCTAGATTTGAAGGGAGAAGGGGATGAAATCAAACTCATGAGAAATAAGCCTGGAGGAGGTGCACCGATGTTTGAGGGACAGTGTGTTAGCAAGGTCGTTTGCTCTGCCATCTCACTGAAGGTAGAGGATGGAGAGTCATGCGGTGGCAAAGACAGAAGGATTATCCATGTGTCTCAGACGCGTCCGAGAATGATCATGTAGGAATTAAGGCTTCTCGCCTTAAAAAAGGCAGTCAGATCAATAGTCCAGCTGAAGTGCATCTACAGCAATGCAAGCTGCATGGCCACCAAATAGGATGAGCTAGAAGCCATTGTGCAGCAGGAAAACTATAACATAGTTGCCAGCATAAAGACATGGTGGAATGACTTCCACAGCTGGAGTGGTGCAATGGATTGCTATGAACTCTTCAGAAAGGATGAGCAAAAAAGGAGAGGCAGTGGGGTAGTGCTGTATTTTAAGGAGTGAAATATGTATGTCACAGTGGTAAAAAGCAGAAAATTGGAGAATATAAAATTAAAAGGAAAAAAAAAGATTTTTTCCAGCTAAGATTTAGCTCCTTCACTGTGTGTTTAAAAGTAAGTTCATGCTTTTTGAGAGTGCCTGAGTTCTCAAAATACAAGAAAACATGTTCACTTATCGGAGGTGACAAGATTCAAATCATATATTAACCAGCTCAACTATGTACACTGCATAAAGGTTATGACAATTTCTTGTAAAATAATGAAAGTATCTCATATAATTGATTCTTTTCATTGTTTCGTAAAATTGCTTTGTTTGATAGCAGGAGAGTTTGGACTGAATTTTCATTACCTACTTCTGAACAATTTACACTGGGATTGAGACAGTATTGAGCTAATGAGTTAGAATTTATATTGAGCCTTAACTGTCTTCATGAAGTAACTAGGGAAAGAAAATCATGGCAATAATGGAGTATTTTTCATTATAAACTACGTTGTACAGCTTTTACAATCAGGTTTTTAATAGATCTAGAGAAATTAAATTGGAATTCTACCAACTTCTGTGCTTTTGTCATCCAGTGAAAATGATGTTAAAATATCTAAAGACTAATGGGCTTATCCCCTTTCTACTGGAGTACGAAGGAGGTGGTTATTCCTGTTGTTTTTCAGGCCCAGTTGTTCATTAATGAGTAAGATGTATGTAGAAAAACATTCAGGAATATGCACTTTGCTATAATCCCTAATGCTAATTAGAAATTGAGTATAGATTAAATACATCTTGACTGATGTTATCCTAAAGTCCTTATCAAGAGATATTCCCATGAAAATAGTAGAAACTTTCAAAGTCAGGAGGTTGAAATTGTACTCTACATGAAAAAGGAAGCAATCATATATTGCTGATGGGTATTTTAATAGTGCTGAGAATGCATGCATATATCCATATTTATTAATATATTCAAACATTGTATTGATTGTGTATGGTAAATAAACTCATACAATGAGTGTATAGATTACTTTCCATAAACATACATATACTCAATCTCAGCATTATACATTATACTACGCACTGTGAATAATATAACTTGTCTGATTGGAAGATTTTAAACTTTTCATTGCATATAAATATACAAATTAATAATGATACATGAATTGCTGTTGTCCTTTATATATAGTATATAGTACTGTTCTTTAATTGTATCCTGTTCTTTAATTCGGTGGGTAGTTTTTATGAGGAAGTCTGCAATAGTGAAAAAGGGTGTTCTGAAATAAATTAAATTATTTCTCGTCTCAATACTTGCTTGTCCACATTCTTCCTTGCTGTTAGTCTGTTCCACTACCAGAAGACTGAAAGAATCAATGTAATCCCTTACATTTTAATTAATAATATGAAAAAAAAAAGAATATACAAAATAGAATCATCAGCAAGCACATATGCATGCATGTTGGTGCCCTCAATAAATAAAATTTTTAGTTACTTCATATGTTTGTTTATCCACAAATACAGGGAAAAATATGTCTTTAGTTGAAATTTTAATTGGTATAACTGGCCATATTCTTTGGTTAGACATTTTGCAGGTGAAAATATTCTCTCATGTATAAAACAAATGCCATATATAGTTTTACTTGCTAAGTATGGGAAAAGTATATGTAAAATATACATGAATCACAGACTTCATGTGAGTGAACGTGACTATAACACTTCTAGGTTTGTGTGCTAAATATTAACTTTAAAAAGTTATCCTTACATACCTCTTTCAGAGGTTGGAAAAAAACCCTAAAGTCCTTCCCTAGCCCACCTATTAAAAAAAGAAAAAAAAATTGCCACTTGCAAAAAAATAGATTAGATTTCTGGCCTTGCTTCCAAATCCAGAAATTGAAAATTTGGAGTCTTCATTCATCCAAATAATATATATTCATTCCCCACAGGCAGCAGTGATGGTTCTTGGGATAAAGAAAAACTTCAATCTCCCCCCACCCAAGGATCACAGGCCTCTGTTAACCACCCCAGCTTGCCTGGACAGCATAATGTTCCAGTTAGCCATCCTCTCAACCCTCTTCAACAGAACCACCTTCTGCCAAATGGTACGGGTTGACATCTTTCAGCACTAACATCAGCAGTTTTCTAGTTCCTGATTTTTTTTTGGTTTTTTGGTTGTTTTTTTTTTGTTGTTTTTTTGTGTTTATATAAATAGGCAATGAAAAAATCAAGGATGTGGGGAATACTGGAATACTTCCTTTAAAGTATTAAGCAGGGGAAGTGGAGACAGTAAAGAACAAATATGTATGCAAGAAAATTGATACTTAAAATAACTGCTAACCTGTGCATCAGTGGCATAATAATGTATTACTAAGGCACCTTACAGCAGATATTAAAAACTATCATAAATAGCCATTGCTTAGCAATGATATACATTACACTGATATGAACAAACTAAGAGGTCTAATAGCCTCTCCTTGTGGCTAGAAATCCTCCACGGTTGCTAGGGATTCACCCATGCGTATCCCAGAAGAGAACTGACACAGAGCTGCTCTGTCCTGCAGTGTGAACCATCTTGTCACCCATCACTTGAATATTGTCCATCAGGAGAAAAAGAAGACAGTGTTCAAAAAAGATGCATAAACCTGTATCCCCTTTTTCTTTTCTCCCAACAGGATTGGAACTTCCTTTTATGATGATGCCCCACCCATTAATTCCCGTGAGCCTACCTCCAGCATCTGTCACGATGGCAATGAGCCAGATGAATCACCTTAGTACCATTGCCAACATGGCAGCAGCAGCACAAGTGCAGAGTCCTCCATCCAGAGTTGAGACATCTGTTATTAAGGTAATTATATATAATGATATATAAATATCATATATATAAATAATACCAAAACAAAAAAGCACAAAACTGTAACACACTCCCAACCATCATAAAGATGTATAGGTATCAAATGTTCTAAGGTAAGTCATAAAGTCAGTATATGCAAGAAAACCAAGTGTTGTGGCTTTGGGACCACAGTAGGCTGCTAGTGGCCAGTGTTGTCTCAGTTTCCCTCCCCCTCTCTAAATCAATGTTAAAGCAACACTTGAAGCATTTTCATACGAGATGCACAGCTTTGTGATTTCTCATTTCATAGTCCATAATCTAATGGCAACATTCCTCAAGATATCAAGGAAAAAATTACTCTTTTCTTAAATTAGAAGAGATTGTTCTTCCAACTTTAAAATCTAAGAATTTGAAGTGAAATGCAGCAAATTATCTGAAGAAAGCTGAAAGGCTTGATACTGTACCTCTGCAGAACCTAAGTCTGCCAAATCCCAGAACAAATTAGAGTGAAGTTGCACAGAGCAGACCCAGTAATCTGCAGGTCAGAACTGTAGTATTGTAGAGATATCTGTTATCCTGTGACTGTGTGTATTATTTTAACCATAGACAGTCCCAAAACAGAAAATTTTCCTTATCCTGGAGTTCCTTTACTTCTTAAAAAGTTTATTCCTGTAACTCGTCTAGTTGAAGAGATAGTTTTCTTATAATCTAGGTGAAGATTTTAAAAGTATCTAGCAATTTTAGGCTCTCTGAAACATTACAAACACTTTGTAACTGGACAATCATATACATATATATTTTTCAAATTCTTGCTTACTTAAGCATTTGTTTGTATTAATAATCTATATTATATATGTCTGTCACTTTTGAAAATTCAGCTATCTCATATTCATGCTAATATCGTAGCTGCCAACTTTTGCATAACTCCTGGCATAACTTCCTGTGCAAGTTGTTTGACAAACCAGGTTTTGTGTTCCCATCTGGTTTGGACATAACCATAATTTAAAAATATGTGGATTACAATGAAAGGTTTTAGATTACTAAATTAACCAAAATTCTCTTTAGAAAAGTGTTCTTACCAAGGGTTTCTGTAGAACCTGATGGAGACATTACCCAAGTGCTGCTGTGACTTCTTCAGTCAAGTCCTGTGACACACTGCCCGCAACACATTTCTCCTACAGCTACATGCATAAACACAAGTGTTAATCTGTGATCCAAAACTGATTTATAAATGTAAGATCTTGTTGCATGTAGTTATTTCAATAATACTGTAAGGGCTGAGGAACTTATTCTTGAGGGACTTTCCTACTTGTTCCTTCAGCCCCATTGTGGTATAACATATGCCTAGATTTATGTCCTCTGTTTTTATCTATGGCAGATGAATATGGTCATGTGGATAGAGGTAACATAGCCAAGTAATTATGTTTCTATTTTTTAATAATGAACAGGATTGAAACATAAACCCCAGGAACTTTAAAGCATGAGGTCATTGTTAGGGGATTTTCTTTCCATGAGGATAGACATAATGTCACTGGCAATTTACCTGTTCTTCACTAGGCATAGTCAGAGGCTGTGATTCAATGTCCATTGAATTATATGCACTGAGTAGTTGAACAGGAAACTGTAATCAGCATACTTTTTGAACCTTGCACTGGCAATGTAATGTTTATGAATAATAACTTATACTACAGTCAAAATAAATATCTTAGAGAATAAATGTAAGTGAGAAGGTCAAACCTTCTTTTTCTTTATTTTTACAGGAAAGGATAAATAGTGCAGTTGCTGTCTTTCATGAAACTGTTTGTTATTACGATTATAGCTTCTGGTTTTTTTACTGCTACATTTTTAAACTTCTTGGATTTGTTTTCATTATCTTTTGACTCATTTTTTTAACCATAATTTTTACTGAAATATTTTCTCCTCAGTGACAATATTTCCACAGGTTGTTTTGAAAAGTTTGTGAATCACTCATCTTGCAGTTAGTAGTTGTAACCTGAAAAGACAACATAGATTTGTGATTAGAATACAGGATGTTTACCAGTTTAAATTCTGCTTGAAAATTAGAAGGCCTATGAGAAATTTCTACTTGGAAAAGTATATCAGTAGTCACCATATCTAATTAAATAACAAAGAAGAAAATTAAGTTCTAGAAAATCTGAGTCTTCATATTATAAACAACCAGATTCATTTGATAGAATTGCCTTTGTGAATAGTGCCACTGTAGATGACTTGCTGACCTTTCCTTCCAATTCACCGAGTTCACAGCTAGTGCTGTTATCTTTAAATTCAGAAAGCTTCAAATGCCTTTCTATTACTGGGCAATATTTCGTTTCTTTGTGATAAGAAGTTGGAATAAAGCTGAGATCATGTACTAACTAAACATTTTATCCTGCTGTATTCAGGAGATGAGACAAAGACAAAATTACAAGGGAAGCCTTACAAAGCAACACCTTAGATTTGGCAGTGAACTCTGAGCTCTAAAATCTTCAGAATTATATTTCAGAAGAGTGTTGTGCCCTTTTGAACATGAGACAAACATTAGATGTCTTTTTGTAATGGAATGTTTAGATATATGAGTTGGATGAATAAGAGGAGAGCAACAACAAGCAGGGACAGCAGATTGTGATAGCAATGAATTGCAGTGAGTGTGACAGTTGTGACCTGGGGATGCTTTAGACATGAAGTGGCTTTCATCACCTGCCCATGGTTTCAAAGGCTCAGCTTGTTAGCAGTTTCGCTACATCAATTTTTTTCACTCAGCAGAAAGATATATGAAAATATAAAGGACATACCTCATATTAATAGCAACTTGAAATTACATTGTAAAAGTTAGAACAGAGCAGCATGCCAGAATCAAAAATTGCAATTTATCCATGTGTTACTAATACTTGTAGAAAAAATTAAGAATAAAACAGAAGAAACCAATACCTCCAGCTGAAAAAGTGACCGGTAGCACTGTAGTTTTCCACTGCATAATAAATATATCACACTAAATTTTGCTAACTACCTCAATATATCACAGCACTTGTTGTGTTCCACTAGTTTATGACTTCTTTTGTATCTATATATATAGATTCATATATTCCTGTTATCAATTAGCAGGAATTTAGTACTAATTTATTTAACAAAGGTAGCTGTTGACAGACTTTATTTTTTAGATAACTCAATTTATAGGACTATTCTGACATGAAATTTTATTTTAGCATTCATTCACTTTTTCTTATTTCAGTGGCAATATGTATGTGTTCCCGTTGATGTCATTTCACGTTATCTTTTTTTTTTTTGCTATAATATTTGCCCCAAAGTCCAAATAATAGCCAAAGAGAAGAAATATGTCACTGCCATACAGAAATGACTGAACAGAGTACATTTTAAAGTCTCAAGTCAGACTGGTGATGAGCAAGTTCAGAGAGCATACCTGAAAGGAAACAGACTCTAAGAGGAAAATGAGCAAGTTCACTTCAGGGAGAGATTGGGCAGCAAAGAGACTATAGAAACTTCAGCTTATGTCTTTTGTAACTGCTGTGTGAGCAGGCCTTGAGTTAAGTGCAGACTTTAAATACCAGAAATATTTGCCATTATAAGGTGTTTTGTGTAGAAGGGTTTACATTATTTACATAACTTACATTACTTTACATTAATTACATAACTTATTTTCCACATACCAAAATTATGACCTTTTTTTTTAATAGGATTAGATGAAGTACTTCTCGAAATTTTCTGGCACACCATCCTGTAGAGGCAGGGGCCATAAGAACTTTGAAAGTACAATTGTACTTGTAACTTGAAAGTACAGTTGCATATCCTGGATAGAAAAACCTTCCACTTTGCTGCTATTACCAACAAAGCAGATTTTTCCTGTACTGTAAGCTTGCAAAATCTGCCAGAATTGTCAATATATTGGTTATTATTGTAAAATCTTTTGATGTGGTTGTTTTCATGCATTGAATAAAATTAAATCCAAAACCTATGTAAAAGGGCCGTCACTAAATTTCAAAAGACATAAGACATAACATTAGAAAAATCAGAATGCCTGAAGAACCTTAATGTTACAGCATTCCATCCATATACTACACTTCAATTTTAATTTCACTACCATATACTGTATTTTTCTGCAGAAAAATTACCTCATTCACTGAATGGTTAGTTATCCTCTTTTTAATTTTTTAAAATTAATTGTCTGCCCCAGTCTTATTTAACCTGAATCCTGTGTTGAATGCAGAAGTTTTTAATGGACATTTGTGTGCCTTACAGGCAAAGCATTATGCAAAGGGTGGCAGCATTCCTATGAAGCTAGATATGCTGTACTCATTTTACAGAAAGGGAATGAGAACAAAATTGATTGTATCCCAAGCTGACAGAAATGCCCTTTTTGTGTGCCTAACCTGAAAAACACCAATTTTTCAGATAACTTACTATTTGTAGAGACATTTGTGCATCCAAAATAGAAATTTTCACATTTCTTTAAAGTGATTTTCTTGAATACAAGTGCGTGAAGAGGGAAGCTACTTTCATTTCCTCTTTTCTGATACATGAACTATGATCAAGTTTTCTTTACATAAGGAGAATTTTGATTTAAAATATTTAAATAGTAAAAGGTAATTGGTCTACAATAAATATTTTAGAATAAAAATAGGACTGCCAGCTCCTAAAAAATCTACTTTAACATATTGGGAAAGGAAACATGAAAATTGGGATATACCTATAAAGTTTGAAGTATGGTATAGACCGAAATAATACTTCATTTTCTTTTATCATAGCTGCAGAGAATATGATATCTTAAAACCATGTAGGAACTTGAACATAACGGACAAAATCTCCACATTAGTATGACTTTTTTTAAAAAAATATGTTACTATAAATATGTACATGCACATTTCTGGTTTTTTTTTTCATTTAGAATAAGTAAATCTTAGGTCAGAGCGCAGTTGACCTCCTTTATTAGGGCTTAACCATCTTTATATTAACCATTAATTAGTTCTATATATAAGATTAAAATTATTTATTTTAGCTTT